TTTAGTCTAAATTTCCGTCCATAATAACATCATTTCATCATCCATCAATTATTTTATTCATTACTATCTCACCGTACATTTTATTCATTACTATCTCACCGTACATTTTATTCATATTTCAGGCTTATCAGACATTTTTAAAAAATGTTATCAGTGGCCTTCATACTGTTCACAGCAAGCTGAAACGTCTCCAAACTCGACTTGTTATTTGTAACGTTGAACAGGTAAAATTTTACTTCTATTAATTAAGGAAGCATAAAAAAAGAATGCAATAATTGTAATTTCACGCATTATGTCTGATAGAAATAGACATAAAATAACATAATAACTATTAATTATACTAATATATTTCAAATAATTCATAATTCTATGACCACATAACAGAAAGAAATTTATTAATGCCCTAGAGAACTTAAAATAGTTGCTTTTTAATTTATTAAATTTGTAACATGAAAGTATCTTTGTAAATCGCTATAATCATAGATAATTCACATCATAGATAATTCACAAAATTTATCGTGATATGCAAAAGATCGCTTAATTCATGCAGTAATTTTTTGTAGCATTATTTATTGCAATAATTTTTTTATGCAGACATATCCTATCTGCATAAAAAAAAAGAACCATTTTTAATATTTTTGAAAGAAAAAAAACAATTAATTCATTTGAATAATATATCGGTTTATAGTTTTTGAATCGTATCTATTTATCATTAGAAATGATATTCGGTAATAATTAAAATCCGCATGAAAAATTTTAGATTCGAGCATTGCGTGGTTTGGGTGCTATTCAACAAGGTGTTAATCGTTGTAAATTAATTTCCTGTAATGATTTTGATCAACTATACGATGATTGTTATAGAATGCAGTATGTTAAAAAAAAAAAAAAAAACTAAACTAACTTTTTCTTATTATTTACATAAAATTTTATTATCATTATCAATCCGTTATCGCAGTTCCTGATATGATGGCAAATATTGCTTAATAATTAAATGATCTAAAGGGGTAAAAATAATCATTCCGAAGTGATCAATTATACGATGATTGCTATAAAATTCAGTAAGTCAAAAAAATGATGCTAAATTATCTCAAGAAATTCTTAATTTAATTTTTGTTTTNNNTTTTTTTTTGTGCAACGATGATTGATTTATAGTCGAGCGGGTCGCCCAACAAAGCGTTCCATAGAATTTGAAAATACGCCAACTGATAGAAATAAGAAAGCGAAATACACTTCAGATAGTTCGTAATTATTTCAACCTTTTTTATCGTTCTGTAATCTTTGATCATTTATATGGCAAAAGTACGACAAGACAATAACAAAGTATTAAATTCAAAATTTTAGAATATTATAGATAGTTAAATAACAAAAGAAATTTTTCATAGGACAAATAACAAAAGGAATCTTTTTGCTTTTTGAATTACCTTTGCTAATTTAACTACCTTTTCATCTGGTTACTTTTTTTTTGAATTACTTTAATTTAATTACTTTCTTTTAAATTGCCTTTTGCTTTTACAATTCAATTTCAAAATTTCCAAAGAACTGTACTAATTATTATCCAGTTCACTAGCATAATTTATAAATTAAAATGTTCTTTCTTAATACCAAATAGTATCAACTACTGACATTTTATCTCCAAGACCGATATTTTTTGTATGAATGGATCGATATTTGTATGATTAAATATTATATGTCATAGCAATTTTGTTTTAACAAAATTCAAAACAAATTTTGAAAAAAGAAATGAAACGTAAACACCTAAAAATATCATTTTAATCAAATATTTATTGCTAATCGCTTCAGAAACAAATAAATGCTAAAAATACAGTATTATATTTTGCTGTGCTACTGTACTGCCTACATGAATACAGTATGACGCCTATAGATGAAACAACACAGCCGTAAGACACCTACAGAAATGATAGAAAATTTTTTGTGGATAAAAAATATTAGTAGTACGGTATGCCGTATAATGCACCATCATACGGTCATACAATAGGATCATAAATGAACATGAAATGTTGGTGATATTGATGATACAATTGATGATACAATACATAAATAATTCCTGAATCTTTGGCTCCATTTATATGATCTTTTAAAAAATTATTTCATTTTAAGAGGAATTTAAAGATAAAAAAGTTAAATGTATAAATTTTAAAAATTTCAATTGAACAAAAAATTTTTGTAATTATTCAATTAATTTATATATTGATCATTTTGCACGGTAAGATAGAAAACATTCACATTCTTTTTAATCAAATTTTAATATTATGCAGTATATTTTGATTATATATAAATAATTTTTTTTTCTTAAAATTCTTTCACCTGCAATTTTTTTTTTGGTCTATGCAATTTTTTTTCTTTTTTAGATACATTTTAGTAAAATTTTTAAATTCTCTATTTGTTGTTGAATCATTTGTAAATGTTCAAGGAACATTGGTACCATTTACAATAAGCCAACAGATTGACGTTCGAGATTTGATGGAAGGCGCTTCGGAATCATTACGATCAGCTAAACAGACGATAGATATAACCATTCCTCATTATAATTTCAGGTTTTCCATTTTATGCTAGCATTTATCAATGTAAAATTTTTCCATTGTTAACTTATATTTTCAATAAATATTAAATACATGCTATTTCTTATATGATATGTAAAATTTACTGCCACAAAAAAAAAAGTTTACCATTTTTTACATGGTTTAATATCATTACTTTATTAATTACACCTGAAAATAGCGAAAGTTCATCTGCATTAATCATTCCACGAAGCGCTTCGTTATCATCGTTACCGTTGAATTTGACAAAAAATGCTAACAATCATCAGTATGACAATGTTGGGAATGCATCGCAGAAGGAAATTTCGTATGATAATTCGAAAATGTATCAATCAAATCAAAACGTCTGTTCCGTTCAGGTTGTTAATGTTATCTGATTTGTATATTTAGGAAATCGAGTTATTTTTCTTTTTTTTTTTTACGAACTGAGATCGAAATTTGTTTTATGGAAGCTAACAAACAAAAGTTACTATAAAAAGGAATGAAGGAAAAGAAAAAACACTTAGCATTTTCATTATTGTTCCATATGTTGTAATAAATATCGTATCATTTCATATAGGAAATGTATTTCCAAATTAATTAAGCTAATATTTTTATTGATCAATAATCAAATCATATCATAATAGCATTTTGAGGATGCGTCAACCGAATATATGGAAGTTTTACAAGCTATGCTCAGTAAATTAATCACGTTGATTGAAATTGCAACGTTGAATTTAAAAACAGAACGTGAATTGGTCGAGAATGAGAAATGTGAAGTTTAATATTATCTTTAAGCATGTTTGATTCCAATAATATTTTAAGCATTGTTTTAAAAATAAAAATTTTGCATGGAATATTTTTAATGCTATTAAGCCTATTAGCTTGAATTTATGATAAAATACAAAAGAATATATTTGTGTTACAATTAATTCTTTGCATTTGTTAAAACCACAAATTAACAAATTAAGTTGTTTTTCACTAAAAAAGGAAGAAAAAAAAGCAAATGTTGATATTTTAATTATCATTGCAGCACTTATACATAAATTGCAAAGAGATCTTGAATGTAAGCAGAATGAATATGATAAAATCCAACGAGAATTATTCATGGAGCAACAAAAAGCCAGTAAGCTTTTAAATTTATATTATAGCGTCGAGCAAAAAAAAAATGTTTAGTTTCATAGGAACAACAAAAAAAAATTAAATTCAGATAGATTTGAAAAAGAAAGATTATTAAATTAGCGCAACTAATACGATAGTGCAATTTCAAATTAGCGGATTTTTTTTTTACTATAAGTAACAATTTGTTGCTTAGAAATTTCATAATTGATTAGAATGCTTAGAAAAAGTTGTATTAATTGCAAATGACAAATTTGTCATAATAAAGTGATAAATTTATTATTTGTAATTGATGTAACTAGACCGAATGAAAAAAAAAGCTTAAATTTCGGTGCCATTTATTCTTTATCATTTTCAGAGATTTATTTTCGACGTTATTGCAACGCAAAACGTGAATCGTTAAAATTGAAAGAGAAATTAATCGATTTGAATGATCATATAAATACTAATTCAAAGTCTGAATAATAATTAAGCATCTGTCGCAAAAGGAATCTTTCAAAACGAGTAGCAAATTTCACATTTTCTCACATCTAATCAATTGATATCCATTATCACTAATAGATCATCTCTTAACAGATATCTGATCTATCCTCCTTCATCTTAGCATATCCAGATACCTTTTTTTTTTCTAATTTATTCTGGAACAAACTTTTGCAAATAATTTCTTAATTTTATTGTTAATTACTCATTTTAGCTTTGTTGAGTTTTCTTAATTTTGATTATTGGTAGTGTTTGAGTGGTTATAAAAATTAATTATAATAAATTATATGTGAGAATATTATTAATGCTTGTATAATTTTCAAATTCTATTCCACTAATTCTATCAAATCTATTCTATTCCATCTCTCTATCATCTATCACCTGTATGATAATCATTGTATAATGTAAGCCATTTAGAGCTCTTTATCATATCCGACGAAGAAAAAGTTTCGTTTCAGTGATTTATTATTTTCAACCTGCTAATTATCACACAATAACAGTGTTGGCAATTCGAACATTTAATTATTCCGACTAAAGTACATTTAAATCAAAAAGCTTATATCCACTGGAAAGCCTTTGTTTCAAATCCGATTCATAGCATACAAATAAAGATGTGAAATTATTTGAAGTAGTCAATGCTGATATAATTTTATGCAAAAAGCACGTAATTAATTCACACAATATTTGAGTAAATGCTAATGAAACTTCAATAGTTTCATAGTTTTATTGTATCAGGAAAAAAATGGGCAAAAAACATTTATAAAATAAAAATTAAACAATTTCGATAAGTGATATTTTTTCTTGAAAGAATATAAAACTTTAAAATTTCTTATTTCATTGATTTTTTCATATTTCATTCCACTTTCAAATGCTTATCAAATTTCTATTGTATCTATCATTATTATCACAAATCTTTAAAAAAAGAAATCGGTACGTTCGTTACTATTTAATTATTCCAATTAATTACTGTATCATCAACAGAGTATTCTATTTCAATCCTATTGTCATTTGATATTTGCATTTGTCATCACGTATTTCGTACACGTAAGTGCTTTCTGAATAAACTTACTCTATTCTTCATTTCTGTTTGAAAAAAAAAATGGAAAGAAGTAAAGGAAAAGAAAACAAAAAAAAAAAACTCAAAATTATGTTTGTCATTGAAAATTTTTTAAATAAAAAATTCGATACTTTACGTGGAATAAATTAAGATAATAGGTCAAAATGAAAATGATAGAAGTCAATTGCAATAGGTCACAATTAATGAAGAACCAAACAACATAGCCAACATTTTATGCGCCAATGTCAATGTCATATCTATCAGTAATCGAACGATTGGTTAATTTATGCACGAAATAATTTCTGATTACGCGCCATTATAAAATGAACGTGAACTTTTCATGGATCAAATAACTTAACTTTTTTTTTACGTCACACATTATGCTATCTTATAAGAAAATGAATACATAATTTCTATTGGAAGTTTAATCAGGCAACTTAAAATGTAACAAACATGTTATCCGTTACGAAACAACGGAGCCGCCGTAGCTCAGTCGGTTAGAGCGTGGGTCTAATAAGCCCAAGGTCGCAGGTTCGACCCCTGCCGGTGGCATGGATTTTCAACTTATTGAAAAATTCACAATGATTTTAAATGTGAACGATGAATCAGAACTGTTATAGCAACAAAANAAAAACTGATCAAACCATATCAAAAAGATTGTGCCCATTTCGAGAATTCATCCGACTCTTTTGTTTGATCAATATCAAACTTGCGATTGAAAATTTGCTTTCAGGCTAATATAAAATTTCATCGCTCTTTTCATGTAACATTTATTTGGCTGCAATAATATATTGTGCTCACTAGATTGAATTTTTTAATTTCGTAAAGCATAACATAAACTTGTTTGTTATTGTCATTGTTGTTATCATTACTGCCACTGTTAATGCAACTATCATTATCATCACATCAACATCCTTATCATCTTAAATCATCATAAACTGTAGACGATTCAATTCGATTCGATCAAATCCAATTAAATTATTTAAACCAGCTGAATGAATGCAAAAATATAAGATAAAAAAACACCTGCACTCGTGTAGCCGCCGTAGCTCAGTCGGTTAGAGCGTGGGTCTAATAAGCCCAAGGTCGCAGGTTCGACCCCTGCCGGCGGCAGAACCCTTCATTGTCAAAAAGGAAGACAATAATCGCGTTTTTTTGGAGAAATTTTAAATTACATGAAAGATGAACAATAATGTAATTTAATGCTCTCCTTTATCTTTAAGTCTGTTCGTTTTTGAATTTAAATTTTTTCAAATTAACAAATAAACTTTGGTGTAACTGTGAAAAAAGAGAGCATCCTGCCGCCAGCAGGGGTCGAACCTGCGACCTTGGGCTTATTAGACCCACGCTCTAACCAACTGAGCTACGGCGGCTACGTATTACGTAAATTCGGTGTGAAGTAAGTTTTAAGTAAGTTAGTAAAATCGAATTGAGACTTTCATAATATTAATGGAAAATTGAAAAGTGTCGCCTTCTTTTTGCTTTTTTTAACGATTTTAAAATGTTTTAATGTCTCTATGCTAAACTCGTAAACATTTTTCAAAAAAAAAAAAACTCGTAAATTCTTACTTTTCCTACAGCGTACGTAGAACCCTACTTTCCCTGCAGTGTGAATAAAATTTTACTTTTCTTATTTTTTCTAAAGTAGATAAAATCTCACTTTTCCTAAAACACAAGTAAAACTTTACCTATTTCTATTAACTTTAACAAGATGTTGTACTTCGTGGTATCGTTAGCAACGTACTAAAATTCATTATTGTTATGCATGTTGGATGTGTTGCAATATGTAATTATAGTTTCGCGCTTATTTCATAATTAATTGTAATCCACTTAAAATTTCATTTATCCCAGAAGGATAAGAAGTGCAGCAAAATGGGTAAAGTTGACAAATTCGGAAATCAAAAATTGACGAATTCACTGCTATTCACTGAACTATACAATTTCAATTCAAATTATTGTTGTGTAATTGGAATTTCATTACTGAGGTAATACATTACGCAAATGGATATGTCAAAATATTACACATTTATTACGTAATTTAGGTGAATTTAGAATTTTTTATGAGCAATTTCTGCATTCATGTCAAAGATTGTTATTCTTTTAACTTTTTCTACTTCCTCTTTTTATCAAATAATTTAAGTAATAAGTAACGTAATGTAATGAATAATGAATAGTGAGTAATACTTTTTATTGGATAATGCTTCTGCTTATTTCATTTACTATTAAAATTTCCAAATATTTTCATTCTATTACAGTCAAATTTTTGATTAAAAATTAAGCTATTTAATTATCACATTTCACACCAAGCATTTTCCGCTCGAATCTGAAAATTTTTAACTTAAGTAACATAAAATATTCTGCAATGTTACAGTTTTTGTAATAATTATTTTGGTCTTGAAATAAAACTAATATATTATAAATTAATGAAATATTTTCGTAACAGAATTGATAGTGTAATTATGATAAATATCAAAATTATTATTATTATTTTTTTTTGCATTCCATAAAACCTAATTAACATTTAGATGAGAATTCAACTGATATTTCAAATTATGGTATAGCCGGCTTTTTTTTTTTTGACTTACACGAGCTTCTTCCTCAGGTGTGAAGTCATTTTCAATGTTAAAAAAAGCTCGTAACTCCTCTACAGTTTTCCCTTTAATGTGATTTGCGATCGTTTTACAGCCAGATGAGAGTAAATCACCAACATCCAAATAATTAGCTGCCTTAAATTATAAATTGATAATTCTGAATTATCTTATTAATTTTTAGATAAGTGATAAAGTATTAAATGTTGCTGACTACTAATATTGAACATTTCCTGACCTGAACAAGCTCGAAAAGCTCATTATTATCTGGTAAGGCAAGAAAATTTTGTCGCCAAATTTTTTCCTCCTCTGATTTCTCGGCGTTAGGAGTGAGATATGTTTGATGTATGCACCATTCTAGAACCTTAAAATTGATTTGTTGAAAGGTAAATCAAATCCTTCTTCTACCTGATCAATTTTTCTGATAAATTTCAAAATTTAAACAAATTCTTCTATCTCAGTTTCATATATGCAGCTAATTACTATTTTTGCTCTATCTTTGAAAAATATATTTCCTTCCCTAATTTTTTCAAATATTTCAGGCTAGTTTAAAATCTTTCAGAAAGGCTGGAAGAAAAAGTACAAAAAAAACTCTGTAAATTTGCTTTCATAAAATTTCAAAGTTCAATTTATAGTATATTAAACTTTGTACCCATTTAATATGTTATAATTTGAAAACGGAAAAAATCTCAAACGAACAGAATTTTGAAAGTGGAAAAATCTAAAAAAAAAAAAATGTTAATTAACAGATGAATTTGTTGTTTTCGTATTTTTTTTCAATAAAACAACTTGTGCGACGTTGTTTTTTTTTTTAATTTTTTTGTCGGTTTTAATTGAAATATTTGAATTACTTGTGGGATTTAAAAATTTCAGCACTTATCATATAACCATCTGGACATTAATTAGCATTTCGCTGTTTTCTGCATCTTGTAGAATGGAATGAAATAAAAACGTTTGAATATAAACTATAAAATGCCTTTGATCTCTTCAGCAATAAAGTTACAACGAAAAGAAAAAAAAGATTACTCAAAAAAGATTACTGTATGTAACTTTGAAAAAATTAAACGAAAAAAAGAACAAAGCTAAACTTTTTTAATAGTTTTAGCTGGCAATTGCACAGGCAAATCAAAAGCTGGCAATGATTCATCAACTTGATCGACCAGTAAATCTAAATTTGTACTTTGAAAAATGAGAAAAGTCTATTAAATAATTTTGTTTTGCGGAACTTTTCACGTATGCGGTTCTCAAGCATTTTAGATCTGAAATTCACAATAAAATATTCATAATTTAAAATCAGAAATCGAATATATTGTGTTTGAAAAATTAGAAAAATGCAATAATGGAAAATAATTCTTTGACCTGTTAATAAATTTTTAATAGTTTTTGATTGCGAGATAACATCCATATCAACAGTTATCTTTTCTCCATCTTCTGATACTAAATTGATACTTCGTTTTTCACATTGTGTTATATCAGTTTCAGACTAAAAGTTTTATTTGAATTAGCTCATATAAGCCAGGTTTTTGATGGAATGTTTTGCGATTGTAAAGTTGAAAGTAAATAAACAAAAGAGTAGTCTATAAGCTGAAAATTAAAAAAAAAAAAACAGAACAAAAATTCATTATCAAAAAAATGATTTTAAAATTTCCAGTTGAATTAAAACATTTTATTAACTCAGTTCTTCAATTCAACTATAAATCCTGACCTCAATTTAACATTACTGAAGTCTATTAAGATATTATCTGAGCAGTTCACCTTCATTGTCAAAAAATGTTGCCAGAAAAAAAAAACGCCGAAAAAGACCGCACGTACCAATTTAATTTTTACAATAATTATTATCATAGTTAGCAATTGCGTTTTATCAGTTGCTATAAATATGCAAATTACATATCAAATTATTGGTTAACACAATTTACAGATGTAAATACAGTGTGACACAATAATAAATCAAAAATAATATTCCAGCAAATGTTTTATGATGGAATATCATTTCTAGCGCTTAACAAATTGCCTGGTAAATAATGCAATTAGCATGCTTAAATAATTATAAATTAATGTGCATCAGATCGTCAAATTACGATGCTTAAATTAGTTTGCATCATTATTTTCTTCAAAAAAAAAAATCATTGTCAACTGGCTGTGTTAACTTCCCGCATATCGATAATTATCGTTTTTGATGCTCGAAGACCTTCCGGTGTTCCGGGATTATGAATACCTTTTTCGTGGTACCAAATAAAATCGCTCACTTTACCAGGTTGTATTGTAATTGGCAGTGATTGTTTCCGTGTAAGAAACGATTTCTCCGGTGGTTTTGAATGCTGAATTCTCGGTGAAATGGAACGTGATTTACAGAACCGTTGCTAAAAATGAATTAATTTTATAGCTAACTTAACGACAAATCATTGATCAATTTCTCTACTAAAATTGATAAGATTATATTATTTATTTTAATGTGCAGCATCACTCTCATAACCATGAGATAACGAATAAAGTGATTTCACAAAATGCACATTGTAAAACTTTTTTTTTTAAGCAATAGTGTGGAAAATTTACCTTTTTTTTCGTTGCTGGTCAGGTGACTTTTGAAAGTTGTGTTAATATTTCAAAAAATATTGACAAACTTAATGATTAATGTCATAAAACAAAAAAAAAGAGACCATTATTGATAAGTAATAAATTTTACTGGAATAGATGTATCGATATGTGATAGATACATTTCATTGCGTCATTATATCATATATCATCGAATGGCGACATTATTAATCAGCGCTAATAGGTGACCATTTTGATGACGTGAAAAAATGTAATAATATGGTTCGCTCACTGATTAATTAATGATCAAATAATCTTAAATGACTGGAAAACGAAGATTTAGTTGCTGTTTGCCATAAAAAAAGATTATTGATGATAACAATGACAATCACAAATT